TTTTTTTTTTTTTTTTTTTTCGCGGATACGAAAATGAAGCACAAAGAAAAGTTGCTTGCTCCTGATTGGTTCAAGTTTGATTCCTTTGTTTTCATTCTGTGTCGTGATTGGTTAACTTTCTTCAAGTGTTACCGGTTAGTGCGTCCACACAGTAATAGGTGTTAAATATGACTGTAGATTTTTCATTTCCGTCATTCAGGATGATGCAGACATCCAGTGGAAGTTTTCCAGGACCCGTATGTGGATGCAGTATGTAGACAGAGGGAGTGTAGTTCCACCACCTTTTAACCTTATTCCCAGCTGCAAATCAATCATATCTGGTTTAGCTTGGCTGAAAAGAAAGGTTCTGGGAAAGGTAAACTATCCCCTTAGCACATATCTTGATCGAGATCTCGGGTGCCGACAAAATCCCGATCAGGATCCGATCAAGGGGCTTTCCGGTTAGGCTTCGAGTAAAGCGAAGCGAACCCCGATCAGGGTCCGACCAAGGAACGTACCCCAGTCAACATTCTGTACCTACCCCGCTCAGGGTCCGGTCTTGGGAAGTACCCGGGTTAAGAGACGTGTCCCGGTCAGGGTTCGGGTATCGGGACTAATCCACATCATGGTCCTGCCTTGGGAAGTGCTCCCTCGGGATTCGGGTTGCGAGGCGTGTCCCGCTCGCCATATTTTTTTAAAACTACAAATTTCACTGTCTTCAGAGATCAAAGTATGAAGAAATTCGCTTGGATGAAAAAGAAATGGAGAAAAAAGAAGAAAATCAGGTAAAATACTTTCAAACAAGCACCTTGTTGTAAAGTCGACCCGAATGACAATCTAATCGCTGAAGCCTTTTTGTTGCAGCGTCGAAAAGTCATCGAGAATCTGATCGAAAGGTATTTTGCACGACGAAAGGAATTTGAAGATACCACTGCCCGTCATCTAAATATTGACCACACGTGATAAATATAGATTATGACAGCATCTCGGGCATTGTGGAGGACAGTAAAAGTTCAACTAACTCAAACCGTTCAATATTGATGGGTTGCAAGCATTTCCAAGAGAGTCAAAAGACAAAAACATGGCGGCCATCATGGTGCCGTTAACAATGGATGCTAATGAGAAATCTTTTGTGAAATGGTACCAACATGGCCGCGATGACGTAACGTGCAATCGAAGAATATCACGTTAGCCGAGTTTGTTAGGTTTTTCTCCGTGTTCTCTATTTTTTCTCCCTCAATAACCTAACAAGCTAAATTCAGAATAAATCTGCGAATCAGCCGTACTATTCTCACTGCATACATAATTAGCGTGTCACGTAGGAATTTAGCTACCCCCCATTTATGGACATTGGAGTTTGCGCAGTGCAGGTGTAATGTTTTGCGACCCTTCCATATATAAGCGACACACCCAGATCCTTGAATCATTAAGTCGGAAGCTGCCTAAAGAGAGAGTAGAAGATTCACCCCACCCACCTCACCTGGTGGCGGTTGACGACGCATCGCATGCTTATCGCATGCTTTTCGCATGCTCATTGCCAGCAGTCGCGGTCACCTTCCATATCTTAATTCCCGTGACTCGGTAATGAGTATGCAGTGAGGATAAAATACTATAATTTAGATCAGCCTAGAAGTTGCTTCAGGGTATCCATGAAATTGGAAGTATTTAGGCCCCGTCCACACGTATCCGCAAATTTTACGAAAAAGGATACGTGTGGACGGTGAAAACGATTCGAATACGCTGCGTGTGGACGCAAACATTTTCGTATCCGCAAAAAATAATTTGCGGATACAAAAATTTCCGGATACGTGTGGACGGGGCCTTAGTTTAACGTGTTAGCACAACATTTTGGGTAGGTGTTCAAAGCACGCAATTTATTAAAATCAAAATAAAAGATAAAAGATAGGACTACTTAATTTATTCTGCAAATGAATGATTCTTAATCATAGCGTTAATACCTCTGTATCTTTCCGCTTTTTTATCGTCTATAAACGAATCGACGCAAGACACTAAATAGATGAGCAACTTTAAAAATCGCAATCAAATAACCAATCTCTTAGAGTGATTTTCATGTGATCGTGAAAGAATAGGCAAACTAATAGTTAGTAGTAGACTCTAAACCAATGATTTTCTTTTGTTCTTTATCAACTATTACAAACTAAATGGTCTATTTTCTTTCACGGTCATGTGAAAATCATTCTAAATCGTAGTTTTACAGAAACCCCAAGTTGTGATAATAAAAACAATAAAAAATCCATAGTCATGGTTTAAGAATCAGAAATTAAGCTTTTCGCGGGTAAATTCTAGAAATCTGCACAATTCTCTGCAAACGAGTGATTTCTTAAAAAGGATAAAGATTCAACTGGTGTTTGGTTCTGAGCAAGCGGATGTCAGTTGTGATTTAACAATGACCAACGAAAACAAATCTAGTTTGTTTGCAGGTATTCATGCAGCCGCGATATCGTTCTCTACCCACCCCTCCCCCACGTATTCTCGACTTTGCGTTTTTGGGGGTAACCAATCAAAAAACTGTCCCAAATTGAAAGGTTTCTTAATTCAATTTATACTATACCTGCTTTTATCTGTACAATACTGATTATCAGTTTATTCCAAGTTATTTTTGCGTGTACAGATCATCAAGAGTTTTGGTCTTACAGAAAATGTATTGACTTACGAAAAAATGTTTAAAATTTACCTTAAACGTCTTCAAGCTTCTATCTTTTTCTATTTTTTACTTCTTCATTTTATCTTTGGATACCAAGGTATTTTCAACATTGTCTGATCAGCCTTCAGCAAAATAAGTGGGTTTTCACCCTCTGGTTACCCCCCAAAGACGCAAAGGATTATGGGGATGTGAAAGTAGAGAATTTGGAATATCCAATTTCCCGTTTGACAATCCAGAACTGATTAGCATTTGAGTTCCCTGTCTCAAACATATTACAATCATCTCATTGATAACGCGTTTATGGTGGATACAAAAAGAATTGGGTTTCCTGTGTTTGTAATCACGTGACATTCAGGTGTGCTTCATCCTTGAATCATCTTGTACCAAATACTGAGTTTTGGGCTTCCTTTGTTTCTAATCATGTGACATTCAGATGCGCTTCATCCTTAAATATATTGATTTTTGGGTTTCCTGTGCTTTGTCACTAGACGTGGTTGACAAACTTCAACCTTGAATCATCTTGAATCAAATACTGATTTTTTTAATGCTATTCATTCTATTCGAATATTGTTGTTTCCAAATTTCGTTGAAAATAATATATTAAAGTCTTCTCGCTCGATCTTGGATGATTTTCAACGCATCTCACTGTAGCCCCCTTCGTGTTTCCACACAAAGTCGTCGTAAACCACTTGGTTTTATTTGTTGATTTTCACTCGCATCTTGATGGATTAACATAACTTCTTTATCCTGTGAGACCTCTGCAGATCTGTTGTCGACTGGCCCACTGATATTTCCTTTAATAATCATATATAATTATGTAACTGTGTCAGTTATAATTCATCATAGGCCAGACCGTCTTGATGTTCACTAGTGTCTACACTTTTCTTCTTGCTGTGTTTGTGTCGACTCTTTTTCTTTTTTTCGCTATCTTCGCTTTTTCTTTTTTCTTTGTCAGTGTCTTTGTGTTTGGATCTTCTGTGTTCTTTTTCTGTTTCGTTTTCTTCGTCCGGCTTTTCTTTGTGCTTCTTGTGTTTTTTACTCCGTGATTTTTCGCCGCTCTGCAGAAGAAAAGCTAGACTTAGTATTCCACATTCGACATCATTTCTTAAAGTGCACATGAACCCTTCGACAATACTTTCAGTACTGATTCTGCAT